GTGCTTTAACACCACTTCATAAATCTGCTATTTATAGTCGAAAAGAAGCTATTGTAGTAAGTTATATAAAATTTTAATTCTATTTAAAATAAAATTTATTATTAAAAATAAAGACTCTTCTTGAACTTGGTGCATCTCCAAATGTATATGATGAAAAAACTTTAACACCACTTTATCATTCAATTTTAAATAAACAAATTGAATCAAATGTTGATTCATCATATTGTTGTTTATTATTATTACAAGATCATTCAATAGTTGATTGTCATGATGATTCTTTATCTACTGAATTACATCAAGCATGTCGTCTTGGACTTGTTCAACATGTTGAACATTTACTTTTTTATCGAGCTGATATGAATGCAATGAATATTGGTGGAAATACTCCTTTACATATTTGTGCAGCAACTAATCAAGTAATTTAAATAAGATAATCTTTTCTTTAGATTTAATAGATAAATAACAATGTAAAAAAAAAAAAAGAAAAAAAAAATCATTGTTTTTTTCCCTTTATAAATCATTGGGCGTTATCAGATGACATTCTTTTCTTTTTCTTGTTTTTGTCGTAGCCTTTTTTTTCAAACATTGTTTTAGGATTATCGGTCTTTCTCCGTATACTTATGCACAACTAACAGTCAGTCGAAAGATAAATTAGAAAGGGTTGAGTTGAGTATAGTACTTGTTTGTGTGTGTATTTATTTGTCCGTTTGTTCGTTCGTTCGTTCGATAGGCGGAGGAAGAGAAGCTTTGTTTTTATGCAATGAGTAGTACGCCCGATGAGAGTCCATTGATTGAGTGGTGAGTAGGAAGACAACGAAAGGATTAGTATGAATGTGACTCTTGACCATATGAACACATCAGATATTGAAGGTGATAGAGAACGATTGATTTTTTTTTTATTGAAATAAATTGTTTTTTGCTTTTTTTTTAGGAAGCTTGTGCTCGTGTACTTCTTTTTCGTGGTGCTGATACAAATATTGTAAATAAATCAAATCAAACACCATATGAACTTGCATTA